TATATATATATATATATATATATATTATATCTTTGGTATTTATATATATATATATTATATTTCAAGAACTGGTGCTCCTTCTTATGGTTTGTTCTTTGAATTTTAAAAACTCATTTTGCCCTCTGAATTTTAAATTCTTCCCGCTTAATCTTTTATGTCGGAATTTTTATTAAAACACATAGAAAAAATAGATTAATGTAGCCACAAGTAAACGGATGAAAACAATATGACCAAACTTAACCCATTTTGTCTAATATAATTTTAACAGAAATTCTTACAAATGGATTTAAATTGGACTAATCTAAAATTTAGGAAGTAAAGTGAGAGTTTTTATAATTTAAAAGACAAACTAAAAAATATCTTAAAATTTAGGGGCACCAATGATAATAATTCTATATTTAATTACAAGGGCATTTAAGGAGATCCAAAGGTGATTTCCATCACATGAACAGAAGCACATGTAATACAAGTTGAAATTGAAAAAATAAAACATAAGAAGAAATCATATAGTAGCGTTCCTATAGTAGATGAAGAGACATTTAAGTTATAAAAATTAACGCTCAACATGACCACCGGTATTGAGCACCCCAAATTATAAAAAAAAAAAAGAAACTATATCTAAGTGTCGCGGAACTCATTTTCTATTAGTATACGGTGTTAGACACTGGGACTTCTAATATTATTGCTTTTAATTAATTATGTATATCTAGTTATAGGGATCAAAACAACCTTTTCCTTATAACAATTATAAACGACTAGCTAGCTAGCAGAATTAAGGAGAAAAGGCCTTTCAAAATAAATAAATAAATAAATAAATTAAGAAGAGAAAGCAACACATCAAAGAAAGAATGAGATCACACATATGACATGGGGTAGATTAATCTTACAGCTTCTTGGTAATTGCCAATATTTTCCTTGGTATTTGGAAAGACGTTTGCAGCAGTAGTAGTTTTCCCATTTGGAGGGAGGCGAAACTCATGCATCATCCAATCAGTTTTAGTGCCTTTGCCGGCACTCCCACGATAATAAACCAACGACTTCTTGAGACCAATGCAATCGTGAGGCTCTTTCACAGAATATATGGGCTTGTCAATGCCTGTTGCCTTCCAAAATCCTGATCCCGTTACTCTGTTTGGTCTTATGCTGTTCCTGTACTTTCTTCCTCGTATGCAGAAGAAATACCACTCTTTGTCCCCAACATTACTAACTTCTTCAGGTTTATATAGATAACCAGAAATCATTACATCTTACAAGAGCCAACGTCAATATAACAATTCATTTATATAATAACACCTCTAGGGTGGTTTTCTTACTAGCTAGTGTCCTGTGTGTCTGTGGATGTGTTGAATCACGTCAAAATCATATAATATAGTAATATGTAAATTTTACTCATTAAATAGTCTAACGAAAATCTAATGGTTTAAACTATACATTATACGTATAGGGCATATCTCTTCATTTTACTATATGAATTAACTTTACTATACCTTAATTGTTTAGATTTACTTAAATCATGATCAGACAAATAATTATGATGTGCTATTGTTCTATGACGTTAGCTTTTCTCTGATCTCTCTCTGCGTCTTTTTCTTCTTAGACAAAAAAAAAAAAAAAAAAAAAAAAAAAAAACTAA